GGCCCCCATGCTTCGAACGCCCGTCTGCAAAGACTTGTGTACATTTGAAAAAGCGCCTTCCTGTCTTGGCACGGAATCCTGTTGTCGCCGGGTGCGATGAAAGGCGGCGTCAGGCTTGCAGAGCCCTGGTGACTCCACTTTCGATTGCGACTCTTTCCTGGGCACCAGGGGCAACCGTTGACGACGGCTGGGAGCCCGCGTTAGGTTGTTGGTGGCTGCGGGAAAGCGGGAAAGCGCCCTGCCTCACCCCAGACGCTGTTTGAGGAATGTTTGGTGTGGATTGGGGGACGTACGGGCGGCAAGTTGGGTCCCGTTCGGATCTGCTGAGCTGAACATTCGACAGCTCTTGACCAAGACTTTGCTGTGGAAGTTGAGGGACTGGAGATTCTGACGGTCTTTGTAGGTGCATTCGTAAGGAGAGCGGTGGAGAGCGGTTGCTGCGAGGGGACCTGGGGTCTGACGGGGCAGTGTCGACGAAGGAGGCTCGGAGAGGAACTGGATCTTGACGAAGAAAGCGAGAGTCCCTGCTCATGCGGAGCGATTTACTCCAAATGTAGACGAATATAAGCGTGGCAAAAGTGCTTTCCAATTTTGCTGCGGATTTCTTCTAAAGCTTTACAGTACTTCGTAGCACGTGCGCAAGTTGATTCTGTCGTAGACTGCTGTACAGGCGGGGTCGCGCAATAGTGCTCCTTGGAGTAGTGCCTCCCCCGATATAGTGCTATAGCTAGAGCTAGAGCTCGGTTACACGTCTACATGTATATTTGTTTCAAAGCAATCAATGATATGTCTTTCTAACATTCCCAATTTGTAGGAAAAATGCGGCTTCTGTATAGTGCCACCCACGAAATAGTGCCATTTGTCGAGGTCTGTTCTGGTATGGCACAATGTCGTGAGACCCCCTGGTATCACAAACGCCGTAGCACCACGAGGTGGACGGCCCTCACCCCCACCGCGGCTCGCCCAAAATTCCAAAACGTTGACAGCTGGCACATTTTAATTGGCTCGACTATCGCTTGGGCAAGCGACGATTTGGGCAAGGGGTCGTCATTGGACTGGACCCCACCGTTGCATTCCCAATCTGTCGCGGGCGGGAACAATCCCATTGGGATGCTCCTGAAATCACAAACACCCAATTTGATACGACCCTTTTTGCACAAATTGCTGTTTTGTGCGCATCACCTTCTGCTGATGTGAACCCCCTTGGAAGACGATTTGTGTCCATAGCCAAAAGCACAAACACATATTTCACCCGCCGATTTCCTGCCGTTGAGGTAGCTCAATCCCTAGCGAAGCTTCCTCGTGGCATGACAGAATCCCTCTACCCTTCATCCCCATCTCCGTCACACAATCCCTCTACCTCCATCCCTTTCTCCCACCATGACAAAATCCTCCTCCGCTTCACCCCCATCTCCATCACCCAACCCCTCTACCCCTAACCCAAACCTTCGTGTTGAACCGCTTCCGCCTTTTCGTTGCCCCTTTGTCTTCGATTCAAATCCTCCAGGCGACCCTACCGAAACTGCACAAACGCAGACCCCCCGAATATCTGCTCGCGTGACCCACGGCTACGGTGGCTCCTATCCTTATTCTGGATCACAGCCGGGACACACGGTCGGGATCCAAAAACCTCCCAACCGAAACTCTTCCAGCAAACCAACGCCTGTTCGTGGCTTTGGATTCTCGGCTCCCGAAATCGAGCACTTGCTTGACACGCTCGAAAAGTACTTGCCCCTGTGCCGCGCGATGAGTGGGACGCTGTCCTCATCGCGCACAACAAATACTTTGCAGATCAAAAGCGATCTGTGGACAGTCTCAAACGCAAATTCGCCTCGTTACATGGACGAAAAATGCCAGCCGGTGACCCGGTCATGCCTGCTGATGTTCGCAAAGCGAAAAGTATTTGATATAGAATGACGGAGCGTGCGGATATTGGAGTCAGTGACGAGGACGTGGACGAGCTGTCAGGAATCGTAGAGGATGATGAGGATGGTACGACACTTGTTGGGGCGGCAAGTTTGTCGCCGCCAACATCGGAAATTCCAAGTGACGGCGCTCAAGGGCCAGGGTCGGGTGCCGAGATTTTGCCGCCGAGCCCTACTGAGCTTGCTCCCTCTCCGGGCTTGCTCGTTAACAAAAAGGAGGCGAGTCAAAGTTCAATCAACTGAGGCAAATGAACTTGTTGCAATAATGAAGCTTTCTATGGTACAAGAGCAGCAGCGTCGGGAGAGCGCTGCCCGACAAAGGGAAATGGAGGAGCGTCGCCGGGCGGACGAGAGGGATGAGGAGAGGAAGAGAAGGGAGGAGGACCGTCGTGAAGAAGTGCTTCGCCGGGAGCATGAAAACAAACGCCAGGATCGCTTTATGGAGGCGGTTCTGTTAATGATGACGCACACGGTATCTCAAAAAAATCTACCGCAACGCCCTGACGATGCGTGACTCTAGATTCCGACGTTCTCATGAAGAAAAAAGTTAGCATCAACGCTTAGGTGCGGCATGTAAACATTGAGAATTTGGTTGATTCCTACCACTGCAGCTCGATAGTTGTACAGTAGAACGATTGTCAACAAGATCAGTTTTCTTTGGCCAGTTTCTTCGTAAACCATCCTATCCAAAAGCCTCGGAAACGTCCCTTGAATCCCGCACATTCCCCACTCTGATGCTTGTCGCAACGAGGTAGCCTGCCGAAGCCTCATAATTTCAGTAGCGTTTTGTCCTGCTCCAAGATGATCTTGCGCAGACTTTATGACAAAGGGATGAAACTCTCTGCAAAATGCAGAATCGACCACACACTTGCCCTCCGTTTCCTCGTACACTTTTCCTAGTTTTTCGTAAATACCACCCCACTCCGCTATTGTGGAATCATGAAACGCGCACGGAGCATTTACAGCACACATTATTATCCGTCCATTTGGGGCAAAGACAAAAACATTCCCCACATAGTGGTCATGTGTCCAACCATTGTAAAACATATTTTGTATTACACAGTCACCTGCCTGTTGTAGATATAGTTTTAACCCATCCGCACAGCAATAAACATCCGGAAACAATGAATGCATCTCCCGAAAGCTTTGTTTAAACAAACTGATCTCCTCAGCTGACGGTATTTTGATGGAGGCACGATCATCATTTCACAAAACTTTAAAAAGCAAACGGCGGGCGAAACGAATGTACAGCGAAGCAACTGAATGCATAACCCTAAAAAGGAGACACAAAGTCATCATCGATCCCCGTGTGCGATGCCATGTGAGAAAGAGTCCCAGGCACTGAGTAGAGGAAAGTAAACGCGGTCTCCCTCTCGCGACGGGCCTATTTGGGAGGATTCGAAGCCTTCCATCGCTCGACTACGGTGTGTATCTCAAGTACATCGGGGCAAATGCGTTAGGCATTGTTGTAAATGCTCGGTGATCGAACGCTGTGAGCATGATTAAAGATTGATCGCATCCACTGCCGTACAAAAAAGCGAAAGGAGCCATCTTAGGACTGAGAAGCGCTCTTCGAGATATGCGTCTATCACGAAGACGTTTACCTTTCGCATTTAGACGGGCTCTGAAGGTACGAGGCTGTCCATCGAGAATGAGATGATACAGAATAATGATTTGCAGCATAAGCGAAGGCATACTGTGGCTAGGGTACGCGATGAGGACGAAAAGTGGAAACGTTGCGATTTGACGAGGGTGGTTCTGGGAATTCGCGGTCGTTCTACATTAAGGAGTTAGATTCGGGCTCATGGGACTGCCAATGGAGTACCGTACGGGTACACAACGGGATAGTGTATAATGTGCGGTGAGCTTTGACACAAAACTTTTCAGGACACTAGTACATTTCACAATCACCTTTTTGCACAATTTTTGTGTAAAAGGGTGCATATGCATTTTATGATTTCAGGAGCAGCCCAATGTCGCGCTCAAGAGAGAAAAGCACAATCTGCGGCTGTGCTCTGGCGTCCACAGCCAAGTGTCTGGGCAGTCTGGGCACGCTCTGCGTACGGGCTGATGTTGACAGGCTGATGTTGACATCAGGCTGACATCAGGCTGATGTCAACACTCAGTTCTACCAAAGGGGACGTCCCTTTCGGTACAACTGTCAGCACAATAAAAATCTGTTAAATTTGTAGATTGCTTTTTAGGAACATTTTTTGGTTTGGGCGAGAATCTTGCGCAATTTCCGAACTTTGGGAATCGTAGAGGCGCGGTGGGGTATGCCAATCTTGCCCAATGGCCTAAAAGTTGGTGGTTGGAAAATTGGACAAGGTTTTTCGTACGCGGTGGCGTCACCCCGAGGGTGATCAGGGTGTATAGCGGCACCTCCTCGGCGCCTTTCTTGGGTGCAAAGTTTGCACGAATGGCGATGGTGAGCCCAAGCAGGGCCATCTCGACGCCATTAAATGCGATGCCGACCCTGCCGCTGCCGCCCGTAAGGGCGCCGAGCTGGGCGCCGGAACGCGCGTCCGGCAAAGTGAAGGGCGACGGGTAGCGGCCGTCAGGGGAGACGGAGGACATGCCCGACAGCATGTTCTCCCGTCCACCACCCGGCTCAGCCCTTCTTCCTCACATCGCACCCCACCAACACCTGCACGGCATGTTCATGACCGGCCAGCACCCACAAGTGATGATCCCGCCCGCCCCGAGCCCTATGTATGCCCCACAAGGCATGGTTTTGTTTGCCGGTGCTCAGCACCCGGCCTACCCGCAGGGCATGCTCATGCCGTCCGCGCACGCCGCACAGATGCAACACCGCTCCAAGGGCCCCGTCAAGCCCGAGACCCAGGCAGAGCGGAAGGACCGTATCGAGCACGAGAAGCAGGAAGTCATACGCGAGTTTAAGAAGAAGACCAGGGAGGCCGCCTTGGTTCGGTTTAGGCAAAAGCGCAGAGAGCGCAGGTTTGGAAAACTTATCCGTTACTACTGCCGCAAGAAGCTTGCGGATGCACGCCCCGGGTAAAGGGACGGATCAAGGACGAAGATGATATGGAGCCGCCCCAGGTCGTCCCAGGTATGAATCGGTGATAGCATCTCTCGAGGGTGGTTTTTTTGTCGCTTCTTGACAAAAACCTCCTGTGTGTATATAGTAGTGCCAGTGTTTTCGCTAACAGTTGTGCATCTCTCTCCCCCCCTGGTTTGGGAGCATAAAACAAACTATTGACGTGTACATACTAACGACAGCGCCTGACGCTCTTTTTTTGCCCTTGTTGCTATCGTTGAAGCCGGCTGAGACAGGAGAGAGTGACGCACCGTAGCTACTTAGACCCTAGTGCAGGCAAATAGGGCAGCGACTGATGTGACTTTTCTGCCGGGAACTGGAGGGAGGGCCGTACGTCCTGGCAAAACGTCCCATCCGTGAATGGAACCAGAGCGCCACACACGACGGACCTCGTCTGATGATGTCACGAGTCAAAAGAAGCGACGTACGGTACGCACAAAAATGGACCAATTTCTGAAACGTCTACAGGTTTTGGCCACCTCACTGTTTGTGTGCACGGATGCATGCAAACAGCACCGCACTACAAAACAAGGTGCCACTCTCTCAAGGAAGACAGAGAGTGAGAAGGGTACCGTACCTCCTGAGGAGGGTACCGTACTTCCGGAGGACGTGTCTGAGCTCCCTGTTGCCACCGCCATTGCGCAGGAAATCGCTCGCTTCCACAGAAACTTCAAAAGCTGTCGGCCTTCACCACACGAAACGGGATGAATCGATGTCCATCGTGTATCCTTCGTATTCATCGTCAACCCATGCATATGTCCCATGCATGTCTCATGTTCATGAGACAGGGGCCATAGCATCGCCATGAGACAGTAGCACGCATCAGGCTGCGTTTCGCCCCCACTGACGTTTCCTGAAGACAGCTCACGTATTTCTCCCTTTTGCACGCTGCAGAAGATTCCAGACGACGCGGTCAATAAACCGGAATTCTCAAGACTTTACATGTAAAAAAACCAAACAGGCTATCCCCACCACAGGTGCCACCACGTACCGTACAATAGAAACGTCTGTGTCTGGCCGAGAGGACAAGGGAAGTAGAGTATACACACCTAGACCTATACACACCTAGACCACTAGCTTCATAATAGCCACCCGGTTGCCGGCCGCTGCAACAAAGACCCCATGATTATCGTCTACCTCCCACCGATTTACCGGAATCTCCAGCTGCGCCAAAACAGCCTCAGAGCCATTCTCTCGCTCATGCACAATATTCCCCCCGCTCTCAAAAACTTTGAGCCTTTTGTGCCTATGTCCAGTGCGAGAGACGGCACGTAAGTTTTCTGCATTCAGAAATCTCTCCACGATATCTCGCCAGTCCTTCAACTTTCCGAGATGAACTGTACTCCCTTTCTCCACGTCCCAAACGCGTACGCTCTTGTCCCAGGATCCAGATACTGCACGTTTTCCATCACCACTCATCCCAACGCTCGTCACCAGACCCGTGTGTCCAGTTAGTGCGTCGCCGATTTGCAGTCCTGTGTCCACGTCCCAAACTCGTACGCTCTTGTCCAAGGATCCAGATACTGCACGTTTTCCATCACCACTCATCCCAACGCTCGTCACCGGACCCGTCTGTCCAGTTAGTGCGTCGCCGATTTGCAGTCCTGTGTCCACGTCCCAAACTCGTACGCTCCTGTCCCGGGATCCAGATACTGCACGTTTTCCATCACCACTCATCGCAACGTGAGACACCACACCCGTGTGTCCAGTTAATGCGTCGCCGATTTGCAGTCCTGTGTCCACGTCCCAAACTCGTACGCTCTCGTCCCAGGATCCAGATACTGCACGTTTTCCATCACCACTCATCCCAACGCTCTCCACCCCATCCGTGTGTCCAGTTAATGCGTCCCCGATTTGCAGTCCTGTGTCCACGTCCCAAACTCGTACGCTCTCGTCTTCCGATCCAGATACTGCACGTTTTCCATCACCACTCATCCCAACGCTAGACACCGCCTCCGTGTGTGCAGTTAATGCGTCGCCGATTTGCAGTCCCGTGTCCACGTCCCAAACTCGTACGCTCCCGTCTTCCGATCCAGATACTGCACGTTTTCCATCATCACTCATCGCAACGCTACGCACTTGCGACTCATGACCGCAGACACTCCACAACACCTTCTTTTCCGATACACTCCAGAACTGTAGTGTCCCATCACTATATCCGATAACTGCATAGCGTTTGCTCATACTGACACAACCGCACGTTAATTCTCGGCTCCCCGTTCCAAAATCGTTGTCTAATTTAGTCATCTTCATTTCCTTGTCTGGAGACTGTGCGAAAGCTGTGATCCTGGTACCGCCCGGGTTCGAATAGAGTCCATACACGCCACCCGTTGAGTCCATGCCGACTTCGTAAACGGTAATCGGAGTATTCGGAAGCACAATATGCTCCACCAAACTTCCTCCCGCTCGCCCTACACATTCACTCACAGGCTGCAGCCATGGTCGTGGCGTGTGTTCCTCGATTTCCTCGAGTATCCTTTGCACGCTACCTAATTCTGATGCCCTGTGCTTGATTCTTCCGTACAGTTGAAAGTAAATCCCTGCACTGCTTTCACCACAAAAAGGTACACTCAGTCGTGCAGCTCTCATCATCAATTCCATCGCATACACCGAATCTTCTTCTCCCGTATCCCTTAAAAGGCTCTCGCTTCCTCCCGTGTTCCTCAAAACGCTATTGAGATCCTTTACAGCTTCCTCGTATTGCCACACACTTCCTCTCTGTATCACTGCCTTCACCCATCGCGCTCTCAAAAATAGATTCTTCAGCTCCTCCACACACCCGCCCTGTTTCAGAACGCGATATATATTCTCGAAAACATACTTCTCTCTTGCATCCTTGCTCTCTCTGCCCTCGCTCTCAGTTATAGCAAGCAGTCCTCTTCCCTGCTTGCATACATCTGCCAACTTCTTATACCAAACCGTTACACTTTCTTCCTTCTGCGCCTCCTGCACCGCAAAATCGTGCGTCAGATCATGCATCCGTACCCACCCACAATCCTTGTCGTAATGAAGGTCTACTAATCCAACCCTTTCCATCTGAATCGCGTACTTTTCAGCCGATTCGTAGTCCATCTCCCACAACTCTCTTACCAACGACAAAGGCATCCCGTCTTGCTTCTTCATAACACACAGACTCCGATGTATCTTTCGAAACGAAAACTGACCTAACCTCTCCGCATCGCTCCCCATGCCGGACTCCACAATCTCTAGTGACGCATGTAATGTCGCGTCTAACGACAACAAATACCCATCCCCTGGACTCTCACTACGAATCGTGTTGCGGCTCTTCATCTTCGAAAGGTATGCCTCCCACGCTTGTGACTTTTCTCCCTCCCATCTATCTCTCATGTACCTGACACCCGTCCCGGCTACGTTCAGAGCCAGCGGCAAACCAGCACACAATTTCAATATTTCCCTCACAGCCTCTTTGCATCTCGGATCATTCGCTTCCTCCGGGTTCGCCCCGCTCGCGAGCATGAGCATGTGAACTGAATCGCTCCCTTCCCTTTCCCTCGGCTCGAAAGTCACTCGCTTACCGACCTGTTTCAGCTCTGGGTCCCTCGTGGAGTACAGAAGTCTGCTCCTCTCTCGGATGTCTCCTGTGGCGGCAGCGAGAGTGGACAACTTCTGAAGAATACACGCATCTATACCATTCACGGCCCACACATCATCAATAATGAACAGGCATACACGTGTGTTGAACCATGCTCGCATCTCTGTCAGTACCCTGCTCAACTCGCTTTGCTCTCGCATTTCTGCAGCCACCTGCTTGCCACCAGACGCCTTTGCGGCCATACACAGTTGCTCAATCAGCCGCCCTACGTTGGCGTCTTTCCCCAAAGACATGAAGTACACTCCGCCTGAAAACTGAGCCTTGATGTCATCGTCGTGCGCAATCGCTCGAAGAGCGCATGTCTTCCCGACTCCGCCCTTCCCCGTTGCCGTCGCTCCTATACTTGTATTCCTATCGGTACTTAGCACGGCCTCCTTTAGCCGCGCCTCACACGTATTCGGTGATCCATCGATCCCCCGAGAATTCAGTTGCAAATATATTTCTTCGGGATTGTGCTCTGCGAGTATACAGGGCCTGAACACATCATGCGTACATCCACTTGCATTCAAAACTTCTCTCACTTCATCACTTGAGTCCTCCTCACTTTTCTTTTTCACCCACAGAAACACTCGCTCAACAAGATTTGCCCTTGCAAGATGGCCGAATGCATCTCCCGGCAGGTTTGTTGCCCTTTCGTCATTTTCAATCCCAGTGATACCTGCCAGCTCTTGTAGCTCCCTCTTCACCATATCCGTGCTCGCTTCGCGCTGTCGTTCGTCGCTAAAAAACTTCTCAACTTCAAACATATTCTTTCTTTCATCATCATTTGGATCCAACTCTCTGCATTCACGAATACTTAGTCTGTAAAACACCGGAATCAGTGTCGGTGGTCGCATCCCACTCCCTATCGCCTCATTCCGTCGGCGTAGGAAGCAACGCAGTTCCCTCATCGTCCACTTTCGAGCCGCAAACTCGGGAGAAAGTATGAAAACACCGACCTTCGCAGACTCCATAGCCTTCGTCATTTCATCCCCTCCGCAGTCCCCGGGCTCCATCGAGATTTTGTCGAGGAAGCAATTTAAACCATGAGCTTGCAATTTCTCGAAAAGGGGACGTGCGATGTGTAGCTTGTCCGGGCCAGCATGGCTTATGAACACATCGGTAGAGTGCATCTTCCTCCGTTTTCTATATGGTCCCGTCTCTTGCCGGAATCTTTCCTGTATTTTTTTTTGTGAATAGCTAATGACAAGTTGGTGAGGTGCGGAGTGCGTTATGCGTGAGAACGGCACCGGCTGTTAGAAAAACAGGGATGCGAAAGTTGAAAGCCGCGTTCAGCGCGCGGCACTCTTGTCGTTGTCGACGAAAGCGGAAACAGTGGCGACGGTCGTG